ATGTTGTGCACGGCAGACAAACTAAAATCTGCAGAGCTGTTTTAATTTACGGAAAGAACTCGTCTGCCTCTTTTAAAACATCCACCACGGTCAACTCGTCGATCGTTGTATCCACTTTATTCGCCCATAGATTTCGCCAAAGCTCTAGGTATTTCACTCGAAATGTTAGGAAGGTTATAAATGTGATTTTAGATAAAATCATATAAACTGCACATGTAAACGTGGACCGTGGTAAGTATATCACACGTTTTTATAAGCAAGGTTCTGTAATTTTTGTGTTCATTTTTCATTTCCAGGGGGGGGCAACTGCCCCTCCCTGCCCCTCGCTGGCGACGCCCATGTGCCATTGCACACAGCATATAACCGTCATCATTCGAAAAGCCAAAATCCGGTCTATTTTCCTTCCCTACGGACTCTGTTATGAGATGTAATCCCTACAAACCCTACATGAAACGGTAACTAACAATGAATAGAATCCAGCAAGTAGGAAAATGAAGCAACTTTTACGATGTACGACAGGAATAAAACTACGAGGTTTGTTTTTGACGGTCCATCTGTAAGAACTTCCACTTAAATCCCATCGTTGATTAGCAAGTTTGGATTCATCGTCATTTTTATTTGTGATTTTGCTGTAACCCCCACCGGTTTTTTGTGCGAATTTCTCTAGAAAATTAAAGTAACATTACCTACTTCCGTTTGAAAGTGCTGTGTTTACAATGCAGTCCAAAAGAACATTTTATCCTCCACACCCACTCAATACCACATTAAGTGCTTGAACGATAGTTTCTAAAAAACGGCACGTAATACCTTTCGGTAAATCCCAAAAGTAGATAAAACCTTATCTCTTGTCTTACCAATCAAGCGTTGAGTTGTGCGAGAAACGAAAAGGATGCCTTAAGGATTTCGATCGCCATGTGAGACTTTCGGCGAATAAAATGACTGATTGTATATTTCTCCTTTTAGTTACTTCCTTTGGGGGATAAAACTCGACGTAATTTAAAAGTTAAATCAGGCACCCGTCGTTCAGCTGCACACGAACGTCAAAATAAACAACCGTTCCAATTTGTTTCAAACAATTTCTACACGGAAATTGGCTCCTGTTTTTTATTTCCCGTAGTCCCACCTACCGCTTGTTTTGCCAATCGATAATACCACAACGTGTTAATTCCATTGTGGTCGGACTTTGTTTTCAATTTGAAAAAAACTCGCCCGTATGCTGCGATTGATTGCTATTTTGTCCATTTGCCAAATGACTAATTCTCAGAGTGATAGTGGCGGTTGTAGATGTCGATATTCTCCTATTTCCGGTGTGCTATATTTACCCTACTTTCCGGCCTGTATTTCCACTTTTTTTCATTTCCGGTTGCTTGAATCGGCCCCTATGCCATTTTGCTCCTTCTCCTTGATCTTGGAATGTTGTTAATATTGTGATTGTGCGAACACAATTTCTCATTTTTTTCTAGTGCTCTTCGAGAAACAAGTTTTCTGTGCTAGTGACCTAAGAGTGTATTAGTTTATTTCATGTAGCAAAACAATTATAAGAATTATCGATTAGAAGTCATATTAATTTTACCCATAACCAACACCTTCTTCCGCTAAAGTAGTATGAAAAATCATCTGAATTTTCGACGTATATTCTGCCACTTTCACCAGGTTTTAGAAACTCCGAAAAAGCAGTAATACCATCGAAACAACGTGCGGTTACTGTATAGGTACTTGAATGAACATGGAAATCTAAATTGCAACTTTGATGGACTGTTCCCACTTTATGTTATCATTACGTGGTAGTGGTCTTTAAAATATCGTTAAACTAGCAAGTCGCCATTGCGAGAGGCGCGACAGATGTTTTGATTTTTGTTACAAAAAAGTTTACTATAACAAAAAATTTCGATTCGAAGTGACGTCTTGGCCTTTCTCAATTTTCAACAAGCCTATTTATTTAATTGTTTTCTATGACTAAATTTGGACGACAAAAAAGCAATTGCACAAATGTATCTCCCTAAAAACAAGCTCAATATCCTCTTCCAGGTATCTACTGACAACTACCATCGAAAAATGAAAATTTGATCATGTTTTTAATAATTGGATACGCTATACTTGGACTGTTTTTAGACTGACTGAATTATTAATTACTAAATGGCACTCGCTCACCATTACATGTCGTATTTAGATTAATATCATCGTATAAAACTACCAATATGAATTTCATAATATTGTGGTTACCGATTTCAACCCATCATTGTCCGTTCCGTTTTGTTTCAATGTAGGTATAATTCATTCTGAGTGGGCGCGCAATTAATACTACCGGAAGTGCAAATATTTCATCAATTTCAGAGCAGAATAAAAAAATAAAGCGCTGTGCGTTTGTCAGCGACTGCTTTATTGTTTATCAGTTCTGGCATCGGTTCGCAATTAAGTTAGGTACTCCAAGCATTATAAATAAATAAATAGAATTTGTGAAGGGACAGCGTATGGTTTAGGAAAATCGTTGACTTGGAAACTTTAATCAACTATTACCAGTAACGGAAGGACGGTTTTTAATTAAAACATAATGTACAACTGAAGATAAACTGTGGAAATATGTATTGAATCTGGGGTTCATCGGATACCGCATATTTTCTTTGTAAAATACCGAATACTTTGCGTTTTGATTATCGATTGAAAAACGCCATGTTTAATTAAATTTACAAATCTTTCGCATACAGCGCTTGTGGAGTTTTGTTCTTTAACGTCTTATTCAATGCTTGATCGTTATCCTAGCTCTAGTAACAACTTCATTATGGTAATTACGAACTATGATGTATATCTTTTCCGGAAAGTTTTCCTTCAACGTAATCCGCGTTCATTATCTGCCATAGTTGTAGGGTACTTAACTCTCAGGTTCTACGTTAACTACTCACTACGGTAACATGGAAATAAAATCAACATGGCAACGTGAGGCTGCTCATATTTGATGGTTTAAAACCCTTCTTGCTAAAAGTAGCCTTGAAGCGACCTTAGTGGGAAAATTCAACGTTTTTGTTAGCAAGGTCCCACCCCAGGGACGAGTGACATGGCCCAGGTGCGGGAAATACTAGCGTAACCGTCTTAGATGACGTAACTCTTTTAGTTACAATATTCCCATCCCTTTG